TGAGGCCGCTCCGCCGGGGGGTGCAGCCCGGCTACCGTGGGCGCCTGCGGGGTGGGCAGTGCGTGCGGGTGGCTGCCGTCAGCCGGGGGGGCTTCTGAGGAGACGCGGCCGGTGAGACTGCGGAATCCACTTGGGAACCAAACCAGGAGCGTGCCGGTGTAGCGCAGACCCAGCTGCTGTGTCGGCCGTGCTAAGGGTTATCTGTATGCTGTCCTCGCCTTCCAGGTGTAGGACTGACCAAAGCACCATGAGTCGCTTCGTCTTGTCAGGGCTCAAGGGCTCCCAAACACCTATGTTGAAAACCAGTCCGAAAGAAATACTTCTATTAGGGGAAAGGAACAGCTTAATAAATTACTCTAGTATTACTGAAACCTGAAAAAAAAATGCAATCTTTCAGCACTGTGTCACAGGGAAAACGTTCTTATCAAATTATAAGCCGGAAGGAAATGGAACTCTGGAGTCCCGAGTAATCCATGTACGGCATGCTTAACTTGCGTGTACCACTGTCCAGCCCACAAAACAGGTGTTTTCCTCTAGGGAAGGATATCTGTAGGGTTGAGAACTAGAAACTGAACTGCTTCAAAAATATAAATCGATTGATGTGTCCAGTTTTAATCGAAATCCTGTTAAAAACCGAAGGTGTACAACTTGTGTCTTGATTCCGTTTTGGCAGTCACCCCTGGGAAACGGTAACAACGGCTGCCATGCAGAAGTACCCAAATCCCATGAACCCCAGCGTGGTTGGAGTCGATGTCCTGGACAGACACGTAGACCCTAGTGGGAAGTTGCACAGCCACAGACTCCTCAGTACGGAATGGGGAATACCCTCCATTGTGAAATCGGTACGTATGGTATTGCAGAGCTTGAAAAGGATGCTGGAGGGAGGGGCAGCTTGTGGACCAGGTGTTGTAATAGACGTGTATCATTTCATAACTTCAGTCGTTTAAAAATACAAGCATTTCTGTATCGGGAAAGCTCAACAGCAGTACACATAGTGACTTCCTGATAGCCAAAAATTGCCTAAATCTTAGATTGCTTCCATCTTGAAAATGAGATCTACCTCAGTACCTTAATAGTTTTATTTTAAGCTAAACCCTAATTCTGTTGTCTCAGCGTCTGTTCAATACAATAACCACTACTTATGCATTTACAGGCACTAAAAAAATTGCAATTGTTTAGCATAATCCCTATATGTTTGCCTGTCTTCTAGCTCATTGGCACGTGCAGAACGAAGACGTATGTTCAGGAGCACTCTGTTGTTGACCCAGTGAAAAAAACAATGGAGCTTAAATCCAGTAATGTAAGTAGCTGTGTTTATGCAATTGAAATGGATTACAGAATATAATAATTCCTTGTAAATTTGAAAAGGAAAATAATCTTGAAAATGACTTGAAAATTGCATTAGAAGAATGCAAGCTAAAGGTTTAAGCAACGTGTTTATAGTTGACCGGCTCTCTTTTTTCAGAAAGGAGCTACTAGGTTTTTGGAACTTGTCAGGACCGAAGCATCTGAACGTACTGAGGAGCAGGATAGCAGTAGTCGGCGGGGGGAGGTGTTAAGAAAAAAATTTTAAAAGCTGTTTGGTGTACACTGTCACCATTTCCTAATCACGTAACATTTTGCTCTTTGTACTACTCCATCTGTCTGATCCCACTGTTGAAATGTTCTTATAAATGCGGTAGTGTATATTGGTAAATGATCCAAAAACTTAAGGAAAGAGAACTAGATCAGCATATGCTGAACTTGGAGATTTCTCTATCTTGTTCTACAGCCTTAATACTTGCAGGAAAAGTATAATGTTTAAATTGGATATAAGCATTAGTTTTGAATCTGCAGTTTTGTTTACTACATTCCTTTAATGTTTTTATCAAGGGGTAATCTTGTCTTATATTCTACAGATTTCATTTACAAACCTAGTGTCAGTAGATGAGAGGCTTGTCTATAAACCACACCCCCACGAACCAGACAAGTAAGTACCCCTTTGTTCTGAGATTGCCCTGAAGTAGCGCAGACTTTGGCTTTGAAAATTCCCATGGTTTCCCTTGAACAGAAGATGAGGTTTACATCACCTTTGTTATGGTAACTTGTCTAAAAAAGAACTAAATGGACTGTCATTTTCTCTAGTGACATTGCTTCTGCAGAGCACTACGGGGAAACTTACTGTCATGTTATGATGGGGTCCAATTCAGATCAGCTTTTCAAGGAGTTGTCCCGTGTCCTATCTGTAACTGAGTTTGTGTACGTCTTCAGTTACCAGCTCCTTATTTCCGATCTCTTCATCAGCCTGAGCACAGAACCTGCACTTAGAGGCCCATTTATCTGCCTTTAGTCTATAATTTTAGAGGTTTGGTGTTTGTTTTGTTGGGGTTTTTTTAAGGCAACTTTAGAGCTTGCTGAGTCTATACTCCTGGAACTAGTGATAATTCTGAAGGATCTTTCTAGGGATTCTAACATAAGAGGTTTTTTCTCTCATGACAGTCAGAAATGTTAAATCCCTGTTGTTGAAGGGGATGTCTTAATACTGTTTTCCTAGTATACCTTCACTCCAAATCTGCTGTTTCCACTCTTAACTTGCTGCTAAAGGTGGAAATAGTTGAGTGCAACAAAAGGACACTTGGACTTAGTGGGGCCTCTTGGTTTTTATTTTATGAGTAGAAGCATAAAGCAGTTAAGCACTGTGGAAGCAGGTTGTGTTTATGGGGCAACAAGTTCTGTGTTACACAACGAAGCTGATGAGGGAATGTACTTGTTGGGGAGGAGCGAGTTTCTTTCAGCAATGCATTCTTTTTTAAACTACTCAGAATAATTCAGCTTCCTGCTCTCTTTCAGAACCGTTTTGACACAGGAAGCAATAATATCTGTAAAAGGTGTCAGTCTCAGCAGTTACCTAGAAGGGCTAATGGCAAACACAATTTCCTCCAATGCTAATAAAGTAAGTATGACCCTTGTGTAAAATGTGTGACCACTGGCTAAATGACAAAGGGAATAAAAATACCTATTTTACTTTTTGGCTTTGTCAACGATCTTAGGAAAGGTCCGCGTAGTTCTACTGCCTTTACTGTAGAGACTGAATGCTCAGCTCACTGAACTTCCTCTTCTTCTTCCTCTTGTGAATGGAGATAATAAATTATTATTGGCAAAGCTCTCTGAGTCTTCACTGGAAAAACATCTCCACTCACTTAACAGTCTGGTGCTGTCACTCTTTTGCTGCCCTCTTGATGCCATCTATTAGTTTTTGCTATTGGAAAAGGATACACATCCAGACAGATCTGAAGTAGTTACGTGGGAGTAATGAAGTGGTGTTTTAGTTGAGAGTCTGTCCTCTGGGAATCCAAAGTTGTCTTGAGTGCAGCCTCAAGAATGGTAAAACAATCTGGATAAAAAGTCTTTTGTGGTTCATAACGTGAGCACTGCTGACATAAGGAATTTTTTCATGAAATGTAAGGCAGTACATGTTCCTGCAGTACTCTGGTTATTGAAGTAAAAAATACCACAGAGGCGTGTATTTCTGTACCACCTCTTCCTTTTTTCAACTATTGTGTCTTTAGTCATTTTCAGTAAGACAGGGTTTGACCTATTTAATTATTTGCTAAAATTTATACACTGATAAACTTTTCTTTAACTGTAGGGCCGGGAAGCATTGGAATGGGTAATTAATAGACTGAATGCTGAAATTGAAGAGTTCACAGCTTCAGCAAGAGGAACCATGAGGAATTCAATGGCAGCAGCAGCATTTGTAGAGAAATGATAGTAAATATACCTGTATTACTAACAAGGTTTAACAATCTGAAGCTTCTCTCCAAACCTAAATACATGTATCCTTTGTTATTTAAAGGCATACCTGTGTATTAGGCATGTTTCAAATTTAATTTGGAGAAAAGCTGAATTCTTACTAATGAGGTTGATGCGCAAAGCCTAGTTAATATATTGGTTCAGCTGGACCGAATTTCGGTTACAGATGAAGAAATAATTTTCAAGTGTAGTTCCTGTATTTACATGAACACTAACTTATATTGTTTTCAGATATGAAATAGCCTCATTTAGCGATGAGGCTGCATATGGTGGAGGAGACTGGTATGTTAGGTTAACTTCTGTGGAATTTTTATTTTGTGTGACGTACGGACTACCTCTTTTGGGACCAAGCCCAAAATTAAGCAGAATGGTTTGTTCCAGCATTGTTCTGTTTGTTAGTTTTTTTATAGTTGTGTGATACAACTTGGTTTAATAGAAAGTTTATTACTTGATGCTTGAAATACAAAAGAATGTACAAAATATTTTTTAATAAGCTTTTTAACTTGTTTGACTGGTTGAGCTAACATGGTACTCACATTGTTTTTCAGTCAATATAGGTAAAACATACAAAGTGTCTCTTATCTACTAAGACCTAAATTCTATTCCTAAATGCGACATTAATGAGCTGGGCGTGCAGTAACTTAAAATAAAATTTTATCTTTAAACTTCTAGAATAAGTATCTCCATTTCTAAAAGCCCGTTAAATAAAGGGCTGCAATAAGCATAGAGCCTTAAAATCTTGCAAGCTGATAGGCCATCTAAGAATAGTAGGTGTTCACTTCAGAATTTCAAAGAACCACTTAAAGGACTAAAAAACCTTTGTGAAGTTGGCTAAAGAGATACCTAAACATAAGAGGAAGTGATATTAAAGAATGTTAACGATGCACTCATTAACTTGATCATGCTCCAAAAATAACCTGTTATATCAACTGAATATTGTGTTGTCCTTTAATTTTAACATAGTGTTCTAAGTTCCAGAAGGTTCTTTACCTTTTGAACTAATTTGCTCACAATACAAGGCTCTTTAAATGAAAACCTCGAGAATAAAGAGTTTTCTGCAGTTTGTGTTTGTTTCTTGGTACTCGCTGTAGATTCTTGGTACTGTCACCAGTCATTAGCTGTGGGAACTTAAAGGTCAGACCTTGACACCCTTCCTTGCACAGTGTACCAGTCTGCTGGTAGTCCTGTCGACTTCAGCAGAGGCTGGCTGTCCCATGAGGCTCCTTCAGTGTGAAGGAAAAATGGAAAGGCACAGCCCTGAATTAGCTGATGCTTGTATTTTGGTGCCAGAGGCTTTTCCTGGAATTTTGATTCTAAGCTTACAAGTAATTTCAAGACTCTCTCTTAGCCTTTAAGAACTGTAATGTCACCTGTTCCAGCACATTTTACGTTGCGTGCCATTTCTGTTATATCAGAATTGCCTATTGAATACTGTCTGCTATATAGAGAACCAGAGCTTATTTTAAGTGGTAAACACATGGGAACACAATCTTCTCTAAGATTTGTGTAGGGGAAAAAAACCAGGATCATTGAGGTTTGCCATGCTTTTACAGGAGGTTATTACAACTGAAATAGCATTTCAATTTAAAAAGTGTATGTGAAACTTCTGCAAAACTGTACCATCATTTCTGATAAAAATGCAGTGCTTGAAACTGATTTTAAATGTTTTTGTAGCCATTAGCATCACTTGGCATTTTAAACTCGATTTTTTCTTTTCCTAATTTTTCTGCACTAAGGACTGTATAGTATGAACACACAATTTGCCCTTGCACTGAAAAAAACTTTAATTTTTGCAAGCATTCAACAACTTCTTGAAAGATCATGATTTTCTTTGTTCTACTTTATATGCCTGCATTCTCATTCTGTCAGGGAGTATGGCTTTCTGTATGTGGCGCTTTTTAAATAAAATTTTATCTGAGTTCTAGCTAGTTCCTGTAACTTTCTATTTCATTTTTTTAACTGCTAGGTCAGTAACCTAAAATGCGGAGGGTGAAGGTGAAGAAATACTCTGGAGTTAATAGCTGCTTTTATTGAAATGCATATCCTAAAATGCACATTTACAGCTGCTGTGGTCTCTTTTGCGTCTTAATAACTGCTTTTCTGCAAATCTGACACATTAACTAGCGACCAGATTTCACAGTTCGCTAGATCCTGTGGAAGGATTTTCAGTCTACTTGGACCAAGGTTTGTGTGCTACAATTTACCCGTTAAGGAATGTGTCTCTGCATATGGAATCTAACACTCACTGTTGTTAAGAGCAGAAGAGAACAAAATGTTTATCTCCGTACTGTCATGTAACAGCTTGCCTGTTTACCCACAACTCTCACAATAGGAGACCACCTAAAGAAGCTTTGCTTCACGGGGAGCGGGAGACTGTGTGTGCAGCAATTACAAAGTATGTGCTGTCCCATCACAGGAGAAGGAAGTAGATACCTGCCCTGTGCTCGGTACGCATACGTACTCAGATGGTTTCTTCGCTAGCCACTTCAGCAAGTCATATGTTCTCTGTGGATCAACTTTGCAGTGCACTGCAGGGCTGTGTCATGGCTGGCAATGCCCTGATGAATGTAGAATGCTATGGATGAATGCACCGATACTGCAGTGAGTGACCTGAGGTGGTGCAGAGCAGCTCTGTGTTCTGGTGGTTAGAAGGAATGAAGGTGAGTAAGAGAAAGGAGCTACAGCTGGAGGGACAAAACTAAAGGACCAGGAAGAAAGAAAAAAGGGAGGGGAGGGGAGGGGACAGAAGGGGCAGAGGTGGAGGAATGTGGTGTGAACAAATCGGTGATGTGGTCTCTGGTGGATCCCTACCTGCTTCAGCTTGCCTAAATGGATTCATGTTTTACCTTATCTGCAGATTTAGGCTTTTAAATCAGTAAAACTTCAAACTCACCCATATAACTTTGCTGAGAAATAGAACAGAAGTGAGTAAGCTTTAGATCCAAAGCTTAATGGCCTAGAGAATATTTTAAGATGGCACTGTTAAATCTTTTGTTCTCACTGCTCACCTTCTGAAGTTTTCAGTAATAAATCATTAGGTTTCCTTGCTGTTCATTGTCTTAATTATTTTGGATGACTTTCTCGTGTTCCTGTGACCCTTAAGTACTCCAGCCCGACTACTAAGGATGTCTGCCAGGAGGAGGGACATGCTATAAGTCTCCAAAGCATCCTTCTAAAGCAAGTTGCATCCAGAAATGCTATTACAGTTAATTTAAAACCAGAAGTTTAAATTGCAGTAGCTGGAAGTTTGAGGTCTTGGCAAGCTTAATGCCCTTTTCCGTTGAGACTGAACGCTTGCATCATCTGCTGGTTCTAATGGAAACACGGTGCTCTTGAATTCTCAGATATTTGTATGGATGTAGCCATATGCCTATGGAAATATTCTTCTGAATGAAACTGCTTGCCTGATTTGTATCTAAAAGTAAGTTGAAACAAGGAATGCGAAAATTACTTTTCGTCAGATTTGATATAAGAATTGGCCATACTGGTGGTGGGATTTTGGTGCTAACTTAGTAAAGATTTTTTTTACTGTAAATTACACTCACCTTGTCCTTCACTTCTTGATTTAAACAGGCTCGGGATGGCTAAAGCAGCAGTATAATGGATTAACTTGTTTTACATTAATTGTCTAGCTTCCATGTACCCATCTGCACTATAAACTTGTTAAAGACTTGTGTTTGTGCACCTTGCTAACTGCCTGCTACTCTGTGTTCTGCAAGGTACTGCTTTTGACAATCTAAAATGATGAAAGCTGCTACCATGGAAGAAAGCAAAATCCTACATTTACTGTGACACTGAAACAACTCGCATCTATATGAACACTAAAATAATACCACTTTCTTCAGTCAGCAATAGAAATGAAGTACTTTTTAAAAGGCTTAATTTACCTGAGAAGTATTTCTTCTTGCTGACAATGGGTGTCAGCACCTGTTCAGTCATACAGCAGTTAACTATAAATGTAAACCAGTTGTGTTGGAAAAAACAGAAAAAACTTTAACCACCATTTCCTACAACATTGCTGATCTGTCTATTGTGGTCTATATTTGCAGTTAAACTGTGCAGTCTAGCATATTTCCAATAAATGTCACATGCAGTAAAACTGCACCCAGTGTCTAGTAACTGCAACCTTTCAAAGCCCCCAGCATTGACAGATAGTTGGTTCAAAGGAAAGATCAGCATCCTGTTGAGGTTCATGTTTATAGAAGAACTGAAGACTGCCAGTAAAGAGAGCTTGTGTGAAAGCACCGAGTCATTTTAGAATCCTTCCATTTCTCAAGGTGAAGGTCATTTTTTCACTTGCACAGGACCTGTTCATTTCTTTCTCAAATAATTTGATAGCTTTGCTTTATATGTTGCCATAAAATTGAATTATTCTAAAGGTGAGGTTACATGTTACAACTAAGCTGAACTAATTGCTTACCTTCAGTGAAAGGAAACGGTCCTGTGTCTGTCTGCCTGCCTTCTTCTTCCTGGCTGTGCTGTCCTACTTCTTCCCTTGCACTGAAGATAGTGGTCTTCACACCCTTTGTTGAGCCAAAAAAACATGAATATGAGAAGTGATATAATCTTTATGCAGCCAGCAGCAAGGTGAGACACACTGAAAGAAGAGAAATGGAGGATCTCCTTATCTATAGGAAGCTGAAGGTGGGCTGAAATTACATTGCCTCTGCACTGTGTATTACAATAATTTCATATTGCATCTACTAGAAAGAGTATTTGGTGCTGTAAACAATTTATGTTATTATAACAAAAAAATTACAGTTTTGTAAAACAGTAACATTGTTAAGTTAAAGTCTTCTCAGACACATATCACGAGAAGTTCAATACAAGATGGCTTTTTTACATTTTCTCCGGAAAGGTTTGACAGTCCTTTAATCAGAGTTTAAAAACGCTGAACTAAAAAAATATCAGCTAGATAATATAATATCTAGCTGAATATATCAGCTAGAATATAATAAAATGAACAACATATGTAGTAAATATTTTCCTAATCATGTACCCAATCCTTTTTACACCAAATTAAATGAAACAATTGCCCCTGCTGTGAACCTCAGTATTCCTAGAGCCTGTTCAACTTTGTGGATACTCTGGTAAGAAATCTGTTTTATAACGTGGCAAGTAGCATCATTTGGGTGAGCACTTGTTAATGGTTTTTTTGGGACTATGTAGATATTATTTACCTGTGAGATAACTGCTTTGGTTTATCTAGATTTAAACTCATTTACATATGGCAGCTGCAACAAAATTTAGTAGGTATGTTGTGAAATTGTGAGTAAGGAAGCATGTATCAGAACCCATACTTGGAATTTATTTATATTTTATAGTCGTGTCATGTTCTGAATGATCTAGCTGAAGTACTAGAAGCACTTTACCTTCTTAGCCTGATACTCTATATAGTTTATTTTCTCTGTTTATAATTGCCAGTTTTGAGGGACATTCAGCAAGCTAGCAATCGCCCTGCTGTTCCTGTGAAAGAATAGATAGAACCAATGGAAGCAGGGTGCTACTCCACAGTCAAGCAGGTCCTGCTTGACCAACCTGATCTCCTTCTATGACAAGGTGACCCGCTTAGTGGATGAGGGAAAGGCTGTGGATGTTGTCTACCTAGACTTCAGTAAAGCCTTTTGACACCGTTTCCCACAGCATTCTCCTGGAGAAACTGGCTGCTCATGGCTTGGACGGGTGTACTCTTCACTGGGTAAAAAAACTGGCTGGATGGCCGGGCCCAAAGAGTTGTAGTTAATGGAGTTAAATCCAGTTGGTGGCCAGTCACAAGTGGTGTTCCCCAGGGCTCAGTTTTGGGGCC